AACTTCGCTGATTAAGATCCACTCGCAGAAGGAGAGCAGCGAAAAACAAGTGTAGCTTCAGACTTTGCTTGTGATGGCCGACACTCAGAAGACGTCTCATGCTCTTTCATTCCCTTAGCTGTGTTGCCTCTTTGATGCTGCTTGCTGCGGCACAGAAAGGCATTGGGAGTTTGAATGACCCGTGCGACTGCATGCAGCACCATGACTTTTGGGTCGCCACCCGAAGGGGCCTTATGGATATCTTTTGGACTCCAGACTACCCATTGCGAGTGCTCGATCCAGAAGATCAATTGCATTATTCTACAAGAAGGCAATCCTGCTTGTATTCACCTGAGAACGAGGAGTCACATCGACCCACTGCGCTGTCAGACTGTATTCCAGGATTCATTTTAGTACATATTGTTTGCATGCAACGCCATTTGGCGAATCGCAACCCAGAGCGTGCAATGGATTTTGCAACGGAATTGGTCCGGCTTTTGCCATTCGGTGCTGCGTGCTTGGACAAAGCTGGGTGGCCAATCAACTCTGCGCAAGTGTTAGGGTATTACCGGAGATTCCGCCGAGCCTTTGCAGCTGGGCCAAGAGGGCCAATGTTGAGTCAATGGGATGCTGTTGAACGAGGAGATCGCACGGCGGAGAGGGAGAGAGCTTTGGAAACTGGTTCTCTTGTAAGCGACGACTGGCCAACCTGGTTACTTCGGGAGATGTTTTGGCAGGCAGACATCCTGAAGAATTGCTGAATACTGCAGTATACTGTAGTTAAAGTGTTCGCGTTGCTTTTCTCATGACTTGTGGTCTTTTTGCAATGCCTTTGTGTTGTTATTGTTGCAGGTTGGATCAGAACCGTATGCAGAGAAGTGCTTTCCTCATGTTAGACTATTGCGGAGGGAGAGTCATGGTGCCTGATTCAGACGCAATCATTGTTGTCAGGCAGCTAGGAGAGGAGCCAGATGTGTGTCAAGCACTTATACAATAAGTAGGGTCATGCAAGCTGTGTCTAGCAAGTGTCAACCTGGACTTTCAATGAGTTTCATAAGGTCCAGCAGGCACTTTCCCAGAGGGAGGTGCTTGCTGGCTGCTGGGCAAAACGGGCGCCAGCTGCCAGGCCTTTCTGGATGTTGAAATCAGGAAGCTAACGGATCAGGAAGCCAACTGGTACTGCTAGTAGTATCGAGTAGTAATATCTAGTAATACTAACCTTTTGTTTTCCTCCGTCTTGGATTTTTACTTGTTCTTTTTTTCCATTGCTTATTTGAGCTTTACGACTTTGCACAGGCTCTAGTTTATGACAATTGTGCCAACAACCTGACAGCAATAGATCTGGCAATCTTTGATGACCCAACCGTGTCAGGGGTGCTACTGTTGATGGACAAAATCCTGCACCACTGGACGAACAAACTCATGTATACCCTCGCGCTCCCTCTTTAACATTGAGTTGAGAAAATGCCTGAAACAGAAAAAAGTTGAATGACCAAAATCCTGCATCACACATAGCAAACATTGAGACAACATTGAGGTGGGGGGGCACGGGGGTTTGTACTATTAGAGGACCTCATGTGTTGCTGTATCGATGCAGGATTTCGTCCATCAACTGTATTACCTTTTGTTCTAGGGGTAGGCCATAGAAGTAGTAGCTAGGTAGCTAGTAGAAGAGGTAGCTAGTAGCTTAAGTAGCTACTAGGCATGGATGCAGGATAGCTCACGTACTATTATTCATGGGGTTCCTAGATTCCTAGGGAAACTCAGCTCTTGCGATGGCCTCCCTGGGCTACTGGTAGGGAGAGTCGCTCTTAAACAGTTTTCCAACCTTGCTTTGGGAGGTGTTGGGTCTGAGTTCAACTACGATTCTACAACTTTGTATAGTGCGAGAGTTCAGTTCTGCTGCATCAATCTTTTGCTGTTGCACAACCAGGAGGCCTGCGATGCAGCTTTGGCAGCAGAAGATCACAAAAGATGACTGTTGTCGCATTGACTGTTTTCAGAAATTTCACCTTATGAACATGTAGCGAAAAGTAGTCGCTTTAGTAGCTCACCAATATACTCTCCACGATACGAGGACCTGCGGACCAAGAGAGCACACGTAGATATTTTCACAGCTTCGGCTCTTTCCTGTTTTGCACCTCTTCACATGGGCCTTCGGGCTTCTTGCCACCCTTTGAGCTGGACCCAACATTCACAAGCGCAGAACTAACGGTTCTATGTGGGAAATAACCGAGCTGCAAGCTGCAACATCATCCCTTGGTTCGGGGGTATATTTGATGCGGTTTTTTGTTGCCCTTTGCCATCCTTTGCAATCGATTGCAGCAGTCATTTGAACGTGTCCCACAAGAAGTGCCCGCGGGCCGGGGCCTGACCTTTGAGCCCAGGGGGAAAAGCTACTTAGCCTGTTTGCGCTTGATGGTCTGCGAAGCGCGGTGCTTCAGATTGGCGTTCTGCCGCAAAGTTTATTGATGGGCGTTGCGGCGTTGTTTTGTTTGCTAGTAGTAACAGGTGCCTTACTAGTAGTAACAAAAAGCTATTAGAAACAAGTGCCACGCTAGGTAGTAACAAGTGCATCGCTAGGTAGTAACAAGTGCCACGCTAGTAGTAACAGGTGCCGCGTTCTGCGATGCCCCTTTGCGGATTCCGTCCTTTAGGACACGCTAGGGGGTCCTGGCCACGATCGCTTTGGTTCTGCTACGGCTACGGCTGTCACGTTGCATCTTTGTGCAGGGGCCGCCCTGCAAGCATGTCCTCATTGGGTCAATCAAGCGCTTTTGTTTTCTTGTTCTTTTCCAGACCCTCAACAACTATCCCAAGGCCAGTGTCAACTTATATTACTGTATATAATATTATATACGTACAAGAAAGTTAAAGGATTTCAAAGGGAGCGACTTGATAGGAAAGTGGACAATTATGGAAAAGGTTTCCGCAAAACACACATATTTGTATATAATATACAGTAAAGAGACGTTGAAGAGGAATGTAAAAAGGACCCGCAAAAGAACATTCAAAAGGCATGTCAAGCAACAATTAAGTTGGAACGGCTCCGCAAAAGCATGAGAAGGAAAGCAACTCAAAAGGCTGAAGAAGGAACTTAGAGAGCATTCTAAATGTAGAGGGCAATTGAAAGGGAAGTTTCTGATTCCTTTATGCGAGCAACATATTGTAAAAGATCATTGAAGAACCTTGAACCCAATAAGTAAGAAAATATCCAAACCGACCCCAACCCCTCTTTTGTTCCTCTTCTCCCAGAGGTCTTAAGGCCTTTCCCGTCAAAATGAGAAAGCAGGGCGCTCAAACAAGACCATTCTTTGTTTGATTGAGGATGCGGGAATGCAGCTAAATCTTCGAGACCAGACACGGCAACCAGATCTTGGAACTCTCGAACATCCGAGGTGGGCCTCTTTTTGGGCACTGAATGTATTTGACAGCGATATATGCAGAGCAATCGATTTGCTTTTTGTTGTTTCACCAAGTTGAGTTTCTATGTGGGATGCACTAGGTTGGACCTTTTCCACGAGTTCAGGACTTAACAACCCCAAGAAGCAACACAAACAATGTTCCGGCATATTGACCAACTAGAAAACAAGAAAGAATCGGTGAAGATATTCGACTCTACATGTTGAATATTGTTGAATAGCTGCATTCGCACGGACATTGTGTGCTGAGGCCCCATGTCCCCCACATTGTTGCTGCGCAAAGCGGTCAGATGCCCCACCGAGTGGCTGATTTGTTGGTTCCCACGCCACTTCAGAGAATTGAAGAGTGAAGTAAGGTCCAGGTGTTTTAGGAACTAGTCTTGAGGCTGCAATCATTTTTCCGTGTGATTGGACCCCAACTAGCAATACTTGCAAAATCTTGGGACGGACAACGAGGCCACAGGCCTTTGCTGGACATCCAGCATCCATGGGCACCCTTTGAATGCTTTGTGTTTGTGCCTCAGATGCTGCGCAACAAAGGAGGTTACGTCACAATTTGGCATTTGGTGATGTTTATGCTGGCATTTGCGCTGACTTGCTGTAGTCATTAGCTGCGAGACTTTGTCCAGTCAAGTGGGTCGTTTTTGTGCAGGCCAGAGGAATCTAGATTTCACTTGGCAGCGACATGGTTGGAGCAGGCTCGGACCAGATAACTGGCCCTTGGTAGTCATGATCCTGGTGCTTTGATGGTTGGAGTTGTCCTCATGGCCCAGGATCCGGCTTGGAGTTATCCCATTTGCGCGCTGGTTACAACCTTTGATCTAACAAGTCATCACCGGTCTCGATTAAAATTGATGCACCATAATGTGTGAGTCATGTCAAATCACAACAAACATCCCTTGAACAAGGCGTGTCCGTGCATTCCTGTGCCGGGACTACAAGAGATTCTGGAGGCATGCCCTTTGCCCTTGTCAAGTTATTTCGGCTGTAAAGTCTAAGACTTTGAGATTGGGCACAGGCAATTCCATTTTGGCCAGAATCCTGAGGATGCCCAAAGAAGGCAATACTCCTGATGAAGGATGATCATTTTATCGTGTTGATCTACCTTGTTTTGATTAGACACAAAGTTGTTTCGCGTGCAAAGACACGTGCATTCTCGCGCATCGTTTCTGTCAAGAATTGTGTGGTGGACGGTGGACGGCCTCGGATGTGCCAAGCCTTCCAGGAGAGAAGGTATTGCCTTTCAAATTGGTGTTATTTTTGCTTGTGCTATACTTGCCAATGGCCTACAGCTCATCTTGTCAATATGCACCCACTCCTCAGCAAGGATCCCTTTGATTCTAGTTTTGTGTAGGGCCTTGCCACTACAGGCTTCAATGCAAGAGAAACTAGAAGGTGTCAAAGTGGTGGAACGCAGCGGAAGATGACATTGGTTCTAACAATGTTGAAGGTACTAGAAGGATTGTTGGGGAACAAAGTCCACACTACTACTGTAAGCTTCTTGCATTAAAGGACACATTCATCCAAGTCGATTGCTATCCCTTTTGAAGCCCTCAGAGATGCGCTGGTGGCTCCATGATGGATCTCTCTCAGGTGAATTCAAATAAATTCAATTTGGTAGAATGATGCATTTAATATTCAAGCTCTTGACATGCACTTGAAGAGTTCAAAGGATGGGGCCCACCGGTTGATCGAGCTTGAGGAGGGAAGTTTGGACCCAAGAAGGGAAGACTGTCAAGTTGAGCATCTCAGAATAGGATCAAACACACAGGAGGCCGTGCCTCATGCTTGTGACCAGGTGGCTTCAACTCCGAGGCCGTCCTTGCTTCGCAAACCTTGTGGGCTCTTGTGTGCTTGATACGCTTCAGCTCATATTTTGAGAAACGGAATTTTGCGAAACCAATGGTCAATGGTATTCTCTTTTGGAAAAGGATTGATCAGCTCCTTGTGGAACTCTTCTCTTTTCCAGGATTCGTCACTCATACATTCGCCAGCACCTGGCAATGGCAACATTCGCTGGGGAGCTCAAGCATTGGTTCAGCTGCATGTTGCGGCCAACAATGCTTGCCTCAGAACCGCATAAAATCAGCAAGATCCGTGTCGGTCCGTGTACTAGCAATCGCATTTCTCCCTTTTCCATCTGACACATGTCTGCACATTTCGCATCTCCTGTGGAATGTTGTTGAGCCTTGGAATGGGATGCAGCCAATAAACTCATTGCTTGACCTTGGACACATGCCCCAGGTGTCAGAGGTCGAAGGCCTGCGTGCCACAGGCGGGTTTGTGGTGGACTGGTAGAAATAGCAACAGCAGCAGCAGCAGCAGGTTCAGTGTCTTTTTGTCGCATTGAGTTAGATCAATGTTGCAGCGAAACATGAGATAGGCAGGACCACTAGCTTGTCAGCGTTTATTGTTTGTGCACGCAAGCAGAATACGACCTTTTGCTGCCACAGTTGGAACAGTGATGCTGATCCACCAGAACTAGCTCGACCTCCAGAAGAGGATGTGCAGAGTCTCATTGTGAATGAAATGCAGGGTAGCATATTGCGACTTTCAAGCTAAGTTCTCTCTGTTATTTTTTGGACTATCCCACAACCTTCTGTGCGTCGTTCCATCAGTCCTTTGTGCTCATCATGTTTGGCTCTTTGCTGTGTATGTGCCGTGCGGTGTTTGCCGATTGTACCGGACCCACCGTTGGGATGCGAGGCTTTACAGAAAAACGGCACTGAAACAATTTCGTACATATAAAATGTGTGTTTTTGCAAAGCCTATACTCGGCTGATCTTGGCTGAAAAATCAAGGTGTATTGCAGAGTTGCCAAAACAACATGCAAGGAACCATTTTTTCCACACATTTAGCCTTTCGTGCTGCTGAAGCTGTCATTAATTATACAATCTTGTGCATCATGACGCTCTGCTTTGAACTCTGCCTTTTTCCCATTGCTACGGCTGCTACTGGCAATCATGACGTCGTCCAAGAAGAGACCCAAAGCAAGAAACCGAACCGTCACGCGCAGCTTGTACCAGAAAGACTGAAGCTTTCCCACAAAAGCCAGTTCGTTTGGCCGTTGGAGCAAGCACCGACACAAATAGTTATTCTATGTTATTCTTGCAAGAACTAAACCGGAAGCAATCCACCAGAGTCAGTGCTGGATTTTGCTTTTGAACTGCTAAGTATATTTGCTCAAAGTATAGTGTGTGTTTTTTTGCCTCGTTAATAGAGTAAATGTTGTTTTGCTTCAGGAGCAAGGATGGACTGTGGGTCGGACACGGCCACGACCTTAAATCGTCAGTCCAACCAAGTTCCATCCAAATTTCCCCACGGATCGAACTGAATCAGAAGCTGCTTGCTTCTTTTTGACCATTGGAATTTTCAGGTTTTCCTCCTTTGGAGGATCTGCCCTGGAGCTCCGTTGGGAGGAGATGCGATGATATGTGTGTTTACAAAATGCTTTCACGGAGTGCCATGCAATTCGTCCGACACTGTCGAAGGCTTTGTCTATGTGTTCATGGCAAGTTCCTCGAAAGCACCACGAGGAGCGAGTTGGAGTTGGAGTAGGAGTAGCAGTTGTAGTAGTTGTAGTAGTAGTAGTAGTAGGTGTAGTAGTAGTAGTTGTTGTTGTTGTTGTTTAAAGCAAACTAGGGCTTTTGAGATGTTGTTGTATTCTTGACAGCAATACTACGGCGTGCAGTTCCAGTGCCAGTGCAACATATTCTTGTCTTGTCGCTGTTTGCAAGGCAGTTCAAATTCTGACCAACGTTAGCGGGACTGCAAGGCAAGCACATGGCTTGCAAGAAGCAGTTTTGTTGCTCTCAGTTGTGCAGGGCTGGGAAGCTCACCTGCATACTTGGTCCCAGTGGTTCTGGCAAAACCACCTTGCTAAATGTACGAGACCAAGTCCAATAAGCAACTTACAGCTTGTTCTTCATTATATTTGCTAGGTGCTGGCTGGTCGTCAAAGTGGTGGGCAGCGTCATCGAATCCGCATCACCGGCCAGGCACAAATGCTCTCTTTGGAGCAAAAGCATTGTGTTGGAAGGCCATTGCTATTAGGATTATTAGGTTGTAGGCCATCGCTATTAGGTTGGAGTGCTATTAGGTGGTGTGGGCTGAACATCAGCAGCGAAGGTTTGGATTTCGGGGCAGCGAGTCGACCCACGACTTGTTCGATCGCGGATTGCGTATGCCGGGGTCCTGGGCATGCACACCCACTTTGGGAGATTACATCATGCAGCAATTGCCAGGTCATGCAGAAGGACGAGATGTTCGCAACTTCCACACCCACGGAGGCTTGAAGTGCACTGCAATTTCAATTTCGTTCTTGTGAGAAAGTAGATCTGGGTACGGCCATAATTGCACCGTCGATTTCTTGAATTCTTTGGATATAGTTTTCAAGCATGGAATTGAATTGGCAGAAGGCCTTGAGCTTCTCTGCTTCGCTCCGTCTTTCTGGGCCGAGGGACAGCAGTGTGTCACAGCAATGCTTCAGCGATTTGAAGAGATCTTCAATTCTTCTGAAGGAGGACCGGAAGGAGTTGATCTCGGAGCTGCTGGGTTCTTTGGGACTCAGGAGTTGCGCAGACACGTCGGAGTCCTACCTTCTGCAGGCTGCAGGCTTTTGCGGAGTTTCTTTGCTGGACCAGGTATATTGGCAATGCAGTCCTCAATGGCTTGTCAGGAGGTCAAAGGAAACGAACTGCGATTGGTGCCATGCCCTGAGTGTTCCTGGTTTTTGAGTAAAAGAAGAGCAGATCGTGTCGACCAAGCAAGCCTTCAGGTCGAGCTGATCACACGGCCTGATATAGTTTGCTTGGATGAGCCGCGACAGCCTCATATTCTACCGTTGATGATTGATGGTCGGTATTGCCTCGAAGACAGCACTTGTTCATTAGTTAATGTTGTTTTTCTTGTGCATGGCAGCAGAGTCCTATACCTTAGCTGCTATTAGCTGTAAAATGTACATACCAAATTCTCAGGACAAGCGGCCTGGATTCTTTTGCTGCATATCAGGCACCATTATTTGCATCGTTTTGCAGAGCACTGAACGCTGAAAGTCCAATCATCAGCCATGTGAGGTCATGAATGTCTTAACAGATCTCGCAAAAGCCGGCTGCACTGTCATTTGTCGATGGCCTAAATCATTTTAAGGGTGAGACGGGATTCCTACAGTCCGTGGACTTCTTTGATCCTCCTCTGAGGCACCTTGCACCAGCCCAGCAGCGAGATTTTTGCATTGATTGACCAGGTGATATGCTGGGATCTTTGAGCGAGCTTCGATGTTTTATGCTGTGTGTTTGGTTTGAAAGACGTGAAAGGTTTGGAGTTTTGAGACATGGCCGAGGTCTTTGTGGTGGCCACTGTTTGTGGGCTGGTGACCGGGATCACATGGCAAGCCACTTCACCAAGGCAAATGTCAAGCCTGATCAGCCTGGTCAATCTTAATTTCGCTCAACATCTAGGAACTGTTTCAGTCATGGGAGTGGTTCTACTGCGCCCTGCATGTAGCTTACTCTCTACTTGCCAAGCTCCCCCTTACCTCATCTTCCAGCGGCTCACTCCCCCCAAAAGACTTTTGTTTTGCTTCCTTTTGTTGAAAGCCTTTGAGCATATCCATACCCTGCAGGTAGGATATCCGTGCCCTGTGGGCTTCAATCCTGCAGACTTTGTCATTTTCTTGATGCAGACGGACTGCGCAGTTTGTGATTCTCTCGTTGTTTCCTGGTTTGCCTTTGTATGACATGGTATTATGCTAGTTGCATCTAGTTGCTGCAACAGCCTTGGTTTCAACATGATCAAGCTTGCTAGTTGCTCGCTACTGTAAGTCCTTGTATTTTGGCAGACTTGATTGCAGCTTTGAACTTTTGAGGCAGCCTGCCACAGCCGCTAGGAGCCAAAGCCAAAGACCGATGAGCTGATTCGCATTTGGACTCAAGAGCAAATAGATGGAGCACTTCATCGCAGTAGCGAGTCCGGCCTTTCCACAGGCACCTTTCATACTGATTCATTAGGGGTGTTGCAAGTGGTTTTGAGTAGTATTGCCATCCAAGTCATTTGCAATGTGTCCAGTGTATCGCTAGCAATCAGGCTCAACAGATGAGCATGAGCATGAGCAGCAACAGCAGCATGAGCTATGCAGGCAGGGCAAGCCTTTCACACAACTGTGCATTGGCACTTTTTGGCATTGGTAGCCAAGGACACCCAAAGGCCGTGCGAGGAGGGCATTCTTGGCTTCATTCAGTGCGGTGGGACTTCTCAATCGTGAGGAAAATATCATTGAGACTGACGAGCATCAACCTGTCAGAAGCACCGTTAGACTTAGAAAGCGCCGCAAGTTCTTGTACCTGAGGTTCAGAAAAGCTTTGGCAAGCAGCTGAAGCAGCTGGCCAAGCGCGAGTTGAGAGCTGTAGTCCGGGATCGCACTACACTGGCAGTGAGGCAGATTCCCACGAAAGTCTCGGAGTAGCAGCTCACAATGTCACGAAAGCTAGCATGCTAGCTGAGTTCTTCTTTGCTTTAGCAATTGGTAGTGGAATGAGCTGCGTGCCTTAAACCTTGATATATCACACTAAGGGGGGGGG